AGACATAGACAGTGGCAGCTCTCCCAGGCCAGCTCCCTAGCATCTTGCATCATCCCGTATGTCACTTAAATATGGCTCTAACAGTTGTTTCTTGACTTTGTTTGGTCTTCTCTTGGAAAGTTTTACATTATTTGTTGATTTTCCCTACCAGTGCTGCATTATTACATGGGCAGAGGGAGACCCTTGAACCGGTAAGTCTGTGTCTTGCCACAGTAGTACGGCAGCCTAATTATTATCGTATTTGCTTGTAACTGGATCTATTTGCTTTTTCAGGGGGAAAGGAATTTTAATAGGTTTGGAGGCTGGCTAGGAAAGAACTCAACTATGGGAAAGAATGTGAGACTATTGGAGGATCTACATGTTCACCTTCTTGCATCTGGGCAATCAAATATGCGGAGGTAAAAAACTTGAAGCAGTTTGCAGCTACTATGATCTCTTTAGTTTGTTTTAACCATGTTAGACATTGTAGAGTGCCTAGTCGTTCTGAGGGGTACTATTGATATTTAAATGTAGTTTCTGCTATTCACGTTGATAATTGTTTATAATTTTTTTAAGCAACATAATCTAAATTATTAAATGACTGATGCTACCAGGGGTGCTCTTCGGCTTGATTATATTACGCTTCTCCTGAAACAATTGACTGATCCTCTGCGAATGCTGCCCAAGGTGTGTGCTCTCTCTCTCTACCTTTGTTTTTTTTTTTTTGTTGCTATTCTACTGTGAAGGAGTGAAACATGTATCTAATCCCGCAGTCTTTCTGAAACATGATCCAGGATGAAGCAGTAGATAAGGTTGTGGAGTTCATGAATGAATACTCAATAAGTCAGGAAGACGTGGAGGCAATTATCGAGCTGGCTAAATTTAAGGTAGGCACCAACTACTTTGTTGACGTGCTCGAGCTTGATTATGCTTATTGAACTTATAAGATTGTCTTACATATTATTGGCATCTTGGATCAGGGGCACCCAAATCCATTGGATGGTGTTCCATCGGCCGTTAAAGCAGCTTTGACGAGAGCATACAAAAACAGATCAGGATTGGTACGCGCTGCAGATATGGTCCCAGTCCCCGGGATTAAAAAGGGCCCTAAGAAGCGCATTGCAGCAATGTTGGAACCATCTGATGAAGGTTTAGGGGAGGAAAATCTTGATGCAGTTGATGCGACCGATGAAGAGAACTCTTCTGACACGGAGGATCAAGGTAATTTATTATATCGTCTTTTTCGTGTTTGTTGTCGCTATCAGTAGCCCATTGCTAGCTTCATATATTTGTTGATCGAGAAGTTATACATGGCTGCCAATCCTGAACTGACTCGAGTGTTCTTCATGGTCCATTTGCCAGAAAGCACTCTTGATGGGGCGAAACTGCAGAGTAGCCTGCAAAGTTTAAACTCCAAAGGTGAGTGAACCAGTTGGACAATGGTCGTTTTTCAACTAGTCCATTTTCAAAGTATTTTCACCTAGATCAACTGAGCCAGATTTCTTAAGATTTTTACATCTGTGATGAACATTGATGGAATTGCTCTGTTATTTTCTGCCTCGCGTGGATATATATAACACAGGAATAAAAGTTGAGATGGAACTGAAGGGTGCCCCTAATTCAAATGGGAAGAAGAAAGCGGGAGGTCGAGGTAAAGGGGCATCGACTGCTGGTTCAGCAGAAAAGAAACCTGCAGGTAGGGGAAGAGGTGGTGGGTCGGGTTCTTCTGGGACTAAGAGAAAGAGATAGTTAAGAGCTACACCGAAGATTACCCGTTGAACACACTACCGAGTCCATGCACTTCTCTACAAGTTGGATGTATAATTGCCTATTTGGTAACTTGCTGGTGAACTGTAGATGCATCTGGCATTGCATTGTTCGCCAGACCGAGTTTTCACACCTTAGCCCTTGCTCTTACCCTAGACTGAAAACCAAAAGAGCTGGTGTGTAGCTGCAAATCAAAATTTTCCGCTGCCTAGTACGGAAGAAAGGGTAAATAGTTTGCCAGTTGGATAGACTTTCTGGTTTTGGTAAGCTCTTGAGGTGCAAGCATTGGTTGTTCGCTTAGCTTCTGTCCTTTGTGAAGTGCGTTGGGATGGAGCTGATCTAGGATTGAACACTTTGCTTGAAACCTACATGTTTCTACGAGTCTCAACACAGACACTTTGATTTGATGGCTGTTCATAGATGTCATTGGTTACTGGTTAGAACTAAAACCACGACCATATCGGTTAATCTAGTAGTAACCACAGATACTAACTATAGTGAAAAAGAGGCTCTCGTAAGTTTCGTCCTATAAGATCCAATAAACGCGCCAAAACGTACCTGATAGACTGATGTAACAATGTTATCCACCATACGAGTTCCTAAACTTATACCACAAGAAATAATCACAAGGTTAGGCAAATGACCACCATGCCTTAACAGCAACGAGCGTAGGACTGAAATGTTGAGAATCATATAGTTTGGGGGTTCAATCGTTAAGAGGTGAAAAAAGGGATGGCTGATTTGTACTTTATCCTTGAGGCAAATAAGTCTGCAAGTGGAAAAGGCCATCTGGAGAGTGGAGACCTGCAATTCTGCACAGCGGCGTGGTGGTTAGCTCTGTGATTGAAGACGAAGAGAAAATCCGAAGGAGATAAGAGGAAAGCAGACGCCGCAGTAGAAGAAAAGCCATGGGGGATTCTGAGAAATCGTTTCTGATCAGGCAGTGGGATGAGTACAAAGGGTTCTGGGCAGAGAGGTTCTCGTTTCTAGACAATTACTCGAGGTTCGTCAAGCGCGACAAGCCCCTCCCGTCTTGGTCCTCCGATGACGTCCAAGAGTTCATCGCTTCTGATCCCCATCACGGCCCCACTGTAAGTTCTTATCTCTCTGATCTCTCTTTCCCCCCCTATTCTTTTCCGATTGTTGGCGTCGTCGAATCTCATTTTGCACAGTTCCTCAGCTGTCATCGCGCTTGTTCCGTGATCTAATTTAGGGAAAGTCTTTAGTGGGAAACTCATTGATTGAATAGGAGATTATGCGGGATTCCTGTTTCGTGTTCCTTAATCTGATTTGGAGCTACTGATAATGGTAGAGTATTACAAATAGCTTTTGATGATGGAAATGTAACGAGGAGTTAGGAGATGTATTGCTTGTCTCTTACAAAAATTCGTTTGATGCGTTTGTTATTGCTCCTGCTGTTCGATGAACTCTCAAATTTGGAGGGTACTAGTTAAGAGTAGAGATATTGCTTCCCTCATTTGCTGTATGCAGTCATTGTCAAGGAATCTTGAAATCGTACGCATCTGACAAGGACGTTGTCGTCGTTCAGATTGACGATTTCATAACGTATTACTTTATTAGAACAATTTTTGGCCGAGCTTGATCTGTTTTATGATGCAGAAGAAGACTCTGTTCTGTATCTTTTGAGTAATGGCTATACACCTTTATATGAAAAGCATATATTCTTTCGGGGATCATGTGCTTTGGTTTGCTAAATCTCCTTACGTTTACCTGTCAAAGGGAAAAATTAAGCAGCTGACCATTTTGATGCAGTTGTTTTACTACCTGGTCTTTTATGTTTGCTTCAACCATCAAAAATTCAAAAGCACTAGTTTTAACTCTCCTCTGGTGTTCCTATTTCGTATCCGTAAAAATGCATCAAGTCTGCTTAACAGAACCCATGAGCCGTCTGTTTCTTTTACTCTTCTGCTTGATTTTTTCCTTCAAATCATTGGTTTCTACACTGTTCCTGTAAACTTACGTTATGAAAATGCATGGTAAATGAAGAGTTGTTGATCTTTTCAGCTGAAGACTGCTAGAGAAGCAGCATCCTTTGGTCTGACTGGAAGTCTTCTTGGAGCAGTATCAACTGCTGCTTTCGCCTGGAAATACTCAAAGAGCCCACATGGTAAGCATGTGCACATTTTATGATAGTGAATTACCAAAGCTGTTCATCTCCTGGTGATAGTTAGTCTTGGTATAGGGTTGCACTACATCTGCTGCTCTCTTGGGGCTGCGAATGGAAGGTTGAAATAACAATGATGTAGTGAAAGCGGATTAGGCTTCCCCCCTGAGTTCATACATGGATGCTCTAGGTTACTCAGCCTCTTGTACTAACCTCCTTTTCCGCAGGTGCTGGGCTGTCCTTCATTGCCGGCGGTGCATTTGGTTGGACATTTGGTCACGAAGTCGCTAACCACTGGTACCAGCTTTACAGGATGGACACTATGGCCGCACAGGTCAAGTTCTTGGAATGGTGGGAGAAGAAATCCGAAGGGCACTCGTAAGATTTCAGAAGATCCCGATCCCCAACATCCATCGCTTTCCCCTTCCCCCCGTGTTTTGATTTTGAAAGATCCTGTAACTGTTGATTGCTCTCTCTTACTGAAGATGTTATGGGAACCGGGGAGGCTGTCGCCTTCTCTTTTTCTGGAGTCCTTTCTGTAGGATTGTTGAATGATAACATTGCAGGCTGTTGCGGGTTGGATTTCAATCCGTCGTAACAGTAATAATAGTAATAGTTACAGGTTGGTTTTTTTTTCTCTCGCTGGTGATGAGATGGCAATTTCCTGGGTGTTGTTGAGGGTTTTCATCATGCTGTTCTTATTTAATTGTGGGATCGGAAATCCCAAGTTTGAGGCCCAATCGATCTCCATTGCCCAACCTCTATCCATTCCAAACAAGGCAATAAGAACTTAAGTTTTGCTGGTTGCAAACAACCTATAGGCCATAAGGAAAAGTCCATAAATGAATATCCAACCTTCAAGGGTCTAAATAATCTTTAATCATCTCATAACTCAGAATTTTTTAGAAAGTACACATTGTTAATTGAAGCCAACTTAGATTATGCCGAATTTGGCTATGAAAAAACTAGAACCAACTCGGATATGGTGCTCAGGCGGCTTGAGAGAGCATGCTCACAAGGCACCCAGTCGTCCGAGCTTTCAACACGTGATTCAACAACCATGTGTCTTTGTGAGCACGTTCTCGTAAATGTGTTGCGAGCATAAAAGCAAAATTGAACTAGAGCGATGGAATAAATAGAGAAAGAGGTGAGGGAAAGGGGGACAGGAAACGTGCCTCAGCCTCAAAGTTCCACTGCACCATCAAAGAAGCATATCTATGACAGCATCAAAGTGACAATTTAAGGTACATACTATTATTATATATAATCCTCGCAGTGAGTCTAATATACAATGATAATAAGAATCTATCTTTATATATATATTATGTGTAATAGGTCTGTCTTTCCCAGTCCAAATCCAGAATAGCCTTTTCTTTATTCTGAATCATGGAGCTCTCTCTCTATTGATCAACCAACAATTGCACTCAAACCGATCCATCCATCCGATGAGATTAGTCCACAGATATGCCTTATCTGCAAAGGAGAATTACACAAGGTGACGATCATAGACCACATTTTTCCAGGGATCAATCACTTTTTCCCATTGCTTCATGGCAGGATGCTTTGGATGATCCAGTAAGCCATCGATTTTATTAATCCATACGGGAGCATTATAACGATGAAATCATATAGTTGTAGCATGCTCAGGCTAGAGTCAAAGAGAGTGGAGACCATACATACCTGATCTAACTGAAATCCTTCGAGTTGAAGCAATTGCTGAACCTTTATCAATTTGTACCAGAAGCAGCAGCAGGTGGAGCATGCATATTGGTGCCGGTGCCAGTACCAGCAAGAATGCCTTCATCGCCGCCAGCTTCTGATATATGTTCATGGTTGTTTTCTTGGGCTGCATTATTATCCACCTCTCCGTTTGATGCCGAAGAAGTGCTTGTTATTTCTTCTTTCTCTCTAGAATCCAGACGCTCCATCATGCGAGAAACCGTTGCAATTCCGGCATTAACCTCTCTTCTAACATCAGAACTGAGGTCTGCCATTGCAGTGTTGCGAGAAAAGAATCTCTCCTTCCAACCCCTTGTGCTCTTCGAAATTGATTCCTTATATCTGAAACGAAGAAAAAAATAGTTGAATTTACCAATCACAATTACCACCCTTATGAAAATGCAAGAAACGAGGCTTAGTGAACGTACCTCATTGAAACTGCATTAAGCTTAGATTTGATCGAATCTGAGATGGACTGGAGTTCAGATGGCCCGGCTCTGTCTTGACTATCTGGCGAAGACTGACTAGGAGATCTAGAGAGAAGACACAAGTTCAGTTTAAAGGCTGCAAACAGAAGGACAATGGTAACTTCATTGGAGCCTTGACAGAGAAGAAAGCACAACAAAGCAGTACCCAGTGTTTGGGGAAGTTCTATGTTGGCTGATAACAACACCAGAGCCAGAAGCGGGTGAGCTAGTATGGCCACTTCTTGATAATGGTGTAGCCACTTGGGGAGATGCTTCTCTACTATTTGGAAGTGGAGAAGAGTCACCAACACCTCTGACCGGAGAAGATGGTGCCGCTAGTGTAGCCATTGAACCCGGTTCAACCTCTCCTCTCTGAGTTGGGGAAGCGCCAGTTGGACCAGTGGCTGGCCCATTATGATGACTAGAAAACACTACATATTGTGGACGGCTTTGAGATGATGACCTATGTCGGGAACCTTCTCTTCGAGAAACATGACGTCGTCCCATTGCAGCAGCAGCAGCCAGGTGCTGAATTATACGCTCTTCAAGTTCAGCTTCATTTATACCAACTGGCAGCTGAATTGGCAAAAGAACTTAACTTTAGAAAATTACACATTGGATAAGTTTAATAGCATGAAGAATTTTACTCAAGCCGGAACTGAAGTAGAAGGAGATGAAAGTTTATGCAGGTGAGATACACACATGTTGCAATTCGAAGTCCCCCAGAGTTGGATGATGAAATATGGCAGAATTCCTAGGTGGATTCAATCTTATATTTCTCTCACGTTCTACAGCTTCGAGCAGTTCCTGACTGTTATAGAAAAATCAAAATCAGCAATTGCTTCCCCATTGTCAGTAATTCAAGGATGATATAAACAGGAGTTTAGGAGATGAACCTGGTTGGATCCTTCAGGGAAATAGATTGCCAACACATTGGGCACTGGGAGCTTCTTTGGCACCTGATTTGGATATAAGGTTGCAACTTAATACTTTTACCAACTAAAAGAAAAACAGAGTGCATTTGATCTTTAGCACTTCCAATAGAAATACCAGATACCCACACCAAAAATATGAAAACCAAAAAATCACATAGTTTAGTAGAAGGGCTTTCTACTTGAATGTCACCCAGGACATCAAAAGAGGTTGATGATCACATTAATTAGGGAAAGGCTTTCCCACTTGATCATCACATGGAAAAAATTGCAAGTCTTTACACATACATACAATGACTGCCAAATATTATGTATAAAATCTGAGGTCAAAGAAGAGGATAGGCTAACAATAATAGTAATATGGTCAACGGTCATTCGGAACTTTGAATGATCTCTACTGACATTTTATGAGAATACATGCATTTCATACAATACAATGTTCTTCAGAATAAAACATCCCGTCAATTCATGTCTTTGGAGTAGATTCTACAACCAATCACATTTCTCTCTCACAATATCATTCAACAGATTTATAGAGCACATAGCTCTAGGATCCCAAACCGCTGCTAGAATAAATTCACACAGGAGGGCAGTTTCATAGCAACTGAACACTACCATTGCCATCATCACGAGTATAACTTTTCACCTGAAGCATCAAATATGGGTCGCATACCATAACACTAACTTCTTTCCTCAAATCAACATTGTAGTTTAAGTTTTGGAGTGATAAAGTCTAGTTATCAGGAATCGAACTCCCATGCCATCATGTAAGAGACATTCAGTGAGATGTCGGTGGGAGCTCATGATAAACGCAGGCTTTAGACCCGTCCACTTCCAAATAGCGTTTCACATATGGACTAATAGAATATATCTGAGACCTATCACTAATATAAATGCCTCCCGCAAGACTGTAAATGTAGCAAATAATCTGACCACGGAAATCAAAATTCGAGGGTTTAAATCGACGCACCATTCAAGGACGCATTGAAGATGGAACTCATGCTTGCAAGTGGTCAGCTGCAAAAGAGAATTAAGGCCCCAATGAGAGGATGAGAGAAATAAAAAACAAGAAAAGCTCGCTTCAAGTAACAGTAACAGCAACAGCAAGTAGAAAGGTGTATAAAAGCAGAAACCCCCTAGTAGTGCCTACAGACATACAGTTGATGGATCACTGTCACAAAAGTCTTCAAGACATATGCTGCAAGCATCATCACAAGCATCCTGAATGCCTCCTTCCACGAAAGCCGCAGCAGACGTTAAATGCGCTTCCGGCTTCTTGCTCTCTTCCATTCCCTACAAAACCCAACTCAGAAAGTTTCAACCTTGAATCCGATAACAATGTCCAGGGTATGCAAATTACATTATCCGATCACTTGGATGTCACAAAAATCATCGAACGATCCAAATCTGTATAACTAAACCCTCACTAGACTGAAACTCCAACGAGTTCCCATCTCAATATCCCTCCTTAAATCATGATTACACCACCAATATCAGTCAAAAATTGCCCCTTCCTAACATCTAAGCAGTCCCCATAGAAGGCCAATTTCTCCAGCGAATTCCAGAACTGTTTTCATTCATTCATTCATCCAGAACTAGAAGTAGAGTTCAAAAACGAACTAACAAACAAATGAGCTTCAAATCAATCAGGACCAGTAACATAGATGGCGGAGGAAGAAATTCTTGGTCTCATTCAAACAAGCCGGCTGGAAACACAATTCAAACCACTCTCTCACCCTATCCACAACCAGAGAAGCCGCAAAAGAGACCCAATACAAAGCTCGGAAACAGAAAGAAAATATAAAGTGAGCGGAGATGACAACAAGTAGTGAGAAAAAGGGGGGTTTAAGCTATGGTCTCGTTACCTCCATGGATGATGGTAGTGGAATCCGATCAAACTATGTACAGATCGAGCTTCGGGTTTGCAGTCTGAATATAAATATGTACGCAGAAATAAGAGGACAGAAGAAAAACCCTATAAATCTGATGAGATGAGGAGGAGAAGAGGGGAGCAATTGCTTGTGGAGCTGTGGGTGGGGATAAAATGAAGAAGAAGAAGAAGTCTTTGTTCTTGTATGTGTTGATGGGTCTTTCCGAGTTTCTGTGAATTTTTTTGGTTTTTGTTTTGGGGTTTGGATTAGCGTTTTTTCTCCTTTCGTCTGCCCTTTCGGTGGTCTGTATGTGTCGTTAACTCGCTATGCGGGTGCGCGTGTGAGTCACCGCACTCTCATTTATTTCGCTTAACTTCTAATCAATTCTAATTGCGGGAATTTATTTAAATCAGACTTTTCAGGTCGGCATTGGGTAGTGGTCGGCATATGCCCGGTTCGGTCAGAACGGTCCAGAATTTCTTGTATTGTATCTTTTCATTTTGAGGCAGTGGTCAACATGTGCCCGGTTCGGTCACAAACTTACTATTGAATTGAGATGTCATAGAATGTGTTCTAATTTCTCACTACATTAAGGTATTTCATGTCATACTAATCTTTTCAGAACGAACATATATAAAATTTATCAATATATAGTTAAGTTGTTCTCTTATGACAATGAGAGAATTTAGGCCTTAAGAAAATTAGTTCAAGTTACATGCTGGTGTCATTTTATCGCATCAAATTAACGTTTGTGTCCATTCCCGAATTGTTCGTAAATCGACGGTTATGTCTGGATCGAATGATAGTGAATCGGTCCTGCAACAATCGATACAGTAGTTATATCATCTTAAATAGCTACAAGAAAGTAGTAGGAAAGTAAAAAAAATTCTGATGATAAGTATATAATGAATTCAACCCAAAGGAATCTTTACCTTTGATTAGGAGTCCTTTTGGATGAGAAACTGAGACACTGTAATGATCAATTTGACCCAATTGTATCAATTTGAGACAATTGGACCAAATTTAGAGGTGGCAATTAGGATCCAAATCCATGAATCCAATCCAATCCATCCACCAAATTATCCACCTAATCCAATCCATTTGATCCAAATCCAATTGGATTGGTGGATTCATGGATCAATCCATGGATCCAAATGGCAAATTACGATTTGGTACCTATATTTTTTATATTTTACATTTTGGTACCTAAAATTTATATTTTTATACGAAAAATATCATTGGAAAATTACGTTTTGGTACCTAAAAATTTTCATTATGACATTTTAGTACCTAAACTTTTCAAAATTTACATTTTGGTCCAAGCCTTGGATGTTATTTGGATTCATGAATCAATCCACCAATCCATTGGATCCAATCCATGAATCCACCAATCCATTGGATCGAATCCATTTGATCCATGGAGCCACGAATCCAATCCGCGAATCCACGAATCCGATCCAATTGCCACCTCTAACCAAATTGATCCGTTTACCACCATGAATTTTGGATGGATAAATTTGAAATGACGAACTTTGTATTGATTCGATCGTATTCAATTCCAATTGTCTCGGATGAGACCGATAATTCGAATCAACTCATTATAAAAGAAAACAATCGACTCTGTTTCGCTATGATAGAGCTAATATTGAATGTGTAGGAATAGGGGTAATTAGCATAAACGGTCACTAACCTTTTCACTTTGTACAAAACGGTCACAAAACTTCAATTTGTAACCTATCGGTAACTAACGTTTGGCCGTATTTCAAAACAGTGATTCCGTCCTTCTCCGTCGAAAACTCTGTTATATTTGTACAGTCAGCATGCCACATCACCAAATATATTAATTAAAAATGAAGTTAGAAAGACCCAACCCACCTGACTCCTATTCTGAACCCAACCCACCCACCCGACCATTATTGTATAGCTGCTCCCCTCTTTAAGAACCAGTAAACCCTTATTCCCTCTCAACCTCTTTGGTCTCTCTCATTTCTTATTTCCCCCTCTCTCAAACCTAGTCAGAGAACAAGAAAATCTCAATCCAAAATCTGTCTGGAGTAAAGAAGATCCAAATCATCATGGGTTCCCTCCCTACTTGCAAGTGTCAAGAAAGAGTTGTTCTTCTAACATCATGGACGGAAGAGAATCCTGGGAGAAGGTTCCTCCGCTGTAAGAGAAAGTACATGGTAAGGATGGTCGATTATGTTGTGATTTCAGTGTTCATAAGATGATTATTTGGTAACATTATCTTTCTTTTTCTTTTTATGAAGAAATTCCCCAATCATTGTGATTACTTTGAATGGGTCGATCCTCGAGTTGAAGATAGGGCAAGGGTTGTCATAAATGGTCTTTTAAGAAAGATTAACAACATGGAGAGAAGATCAAAGGAAGAGAGTCAGCTAGAGTGTAGCTCACATCTGAATGCCGCTGCATCTTTTACATCTACTGCAAGAAACACGGATCAATCTAAAATAGGCAACCGAAGTGAAGATCTATTTGCACGGATGATGAATCTGATTTATGTTGTTATTTGTGTAACTGTAGGAATAATTGTTGGTAGATATGTGTAATTGAACAAAAGCATTTATCATTGTTAAATGTGTGGTTGTGAACCTCTGTCCGATCTATAATTCTTAATGTTAGTCATTGTTGCTGGGTTTGTTGACTAGGTGTGGCTCATGTAACACAAAGGTCACACCCCGTGCTAACAAACAAAAAAAAGGTCAGACACGAAATCACTTGGTGACAGGTCGGTCATAATGGTTTAAAGGTTACAACCAAATGGTCATGATGGTTTTGGGGTTGTAACAAAATGGTCATTCGATAGTCTTGTACATGGAAGCAGGAATCTGTAAGATCAACTGCATAACACAAACCTGTGGAAGAATTAACACAAACCTGCAATTACATTTATCCTTAGAACATGTTCAAACATAAGGATTACAGTAGTTCGTCAAGACAATTACATCCTACTTAACATGGATAGGCTCATCAAAAAGGATGCATCGAGCCATCAACATGTTCAAAATTAGAGTTTCCTGAAGTTGCCACAGTGACAATCAGACCTCAACAAAAAATGAGGATGTACACTACCCTAGTGATGCTCGATCTTAGTTTTGAAGCCTGCCCGTACTACCCTTTCGAACTGTCACCTTGGTCCTCATTCTTAGACCTGCTAAGTTGCCTTCATAGTTCGGAGAAGAGGAAGGAATTATTGGTGTTGGCATGAATGTTAAACCTTCGAACCCCGCATGCTGAGGAGACAAAGCTGGTGGAGATGTGGCTGCTGGAGATGATCCTCCATGTCTAGGAGGGGATGCAGCTGCTGAAGATGATCCTCCATGATCCTGTTAGTAAATTCATAGAAAAATGCAACTTGTAAATGAATCATCAAGTGGAAATGTTTGAAGGAATTTATAGAAAGATACTGACCTTGCTGTGAAATCGACTGTTGTGACCTTTCTCATGGCATATGGTGCACGTCATCTCAATTCCAGCCTGTGACATAGCTTTATACTGTGTTCCATGCTTGTTTTTCTTGCTCTTCAACAACTCCCATGCTTCTTTGCGTCTCTTCTTTTGTCTAGGACCTCTCTTTTTCTCAACAAAGGTAGGCGACTCCAGTTCAATGCATCCTTCGTGAATCCATTGGGTGGAATCATTGAGAGGGCGGACAGCAATCGAATATGAACTCTTGCATCTATCCACCCGATAGCAATCAGCAACATAATTTTCAAGAGGTTCACTGTTCATTTGCATGCATGCTATTGCGTGTTGACAAGGAATGCCGCTTAGCTGCCATCGACCACATGCACAAGTCCGATTCATCATATCAACCACATACCTACCTCTATGAGATTGCACTTGGTACTCCCTATTCCCGTTGAAAGTCGGGAAACAAAATGCAGCCCAATCTTTGTATTTGTGCAACCTCTTAATTGGCTTTGGGCAAATAAGAATCCCTTTCTCCTCTAGACGCTTCATTTGTCTCTTTCTCGCAGCAACCCGTTTCATAACCTTCCCAAATATATCCTCCAAGCATGATAAGATTGGCATGTCTCTTGACTCGAGGATGTACTTGTTGAAGCTCTCACAATGATTGTTGACTCCCATATCAGATTTGCATACTGTTCTATAGAATGCCTTGCACCACTGACTGCTATCTCTTTCCATCATCCACTGATGTGGTGTTTGATCACCTATCTTGTACCCTTCTCCAACAGTATTCAACTCCTCCATTGCTGCCCTATATTCAGCCAAGTAAGTTGCACTTGCAGCTGCATAAAAAATGTCCTTCAGCTTCTTCGATCGAGTAAACTTGCCACTGAAGTTTACGTACATATGCCTAACACAATAACGATGTTCGGCATTTGGGAACATTGCATGCATCACATTCATCAATCCCTATAAATAGAAACAAGTATTGAATCAATAATTGGACATGTGCGATAATCCATAAAAAATCATGAGCATAAAAAGAAACTGACCTTTTGCCTATCCGACATAAAGGTCCATTCTGTTGATTGGTCTATGTCCAAGTCCTCGGCTAGGTGTGCAATGAACCACTCCCATGACTCCTGGCATTCTTTTTCCACGATTGCCCATGCAATAGGATACATGCAGGCATAGCCTTGAGAAAACAACCATCAACCCCAATCACCTTCCGACATCCAGCCTTGAATCCTTCTTTTATAGGACCCAAACATATGTATATCTTCTCAAAGACTCTTAAGCTATGTTCAATAACCACTGTTGTTCCCGGGTTTCTCACTTCCAACTCCTTCTTGTAAGCATAAAGCTTTGCAAACTGAAGACTGTCCTCCCCATGAACAATCTGCAACGCAAGCTGTTTGGTTCTATAAGCCTTCATTCGATTGATCTTGATGCTCAAATCTGTCATCACAGTCTGCTGAAGGTTTGGAATTGACCACGACGGGTCCACCCGCCATCGAGATAAATATTTCTTCACTATAAATGATGGTGCAGCAGCTCTTAGGTCCTCATCAACCCCACAAGTATGTTGAAGCATCGCTGTCCTAATCTGCACGGTGTCACAATCTTTCACCTTCGTAGCATATAACTTGAAACCACACTTATGTTGACACACACAGATGACACGCTTCTTATCATTGGTTGGAAACCTGACATCTCTTCTTTGAGTCACTGCATGTGCTTTACATGCTTCTTTGAACTCATCAAAAGATCCAAAGAGTTGACCAACCTTTAACTCAGGGAAAACCATATCTCTTTCAGCCCTAAACTCC